TCGTAGCAGCCTGCCTGCGCGCGCGGGCACGAGTGGGTGGCGCCCGTTGCACACGTAGCGCGTAGCGGTGCGCCACCGCCCGCCCAGTGCTGGCGCGGTGGGACCACACGATGCACCAACCCCCGGCTGGAGCAAGGGGCCCGCCGCAATGACGCGTGCTGCTGGCTCGTGGGGCCGGAGGCGCCAACCGGGCCCACGCGGGACGTGGGGACCAGGTGGGTGTTGTCCTGCAGCGTGCGTGTTGGCGGGGAAGTGGAGGAGGGAGGGACAACTGGACTGGAGTGGTGGTAGGCTGACGTGTCTGGCGGGTTGGGTTGGGTTGGATTGGATTGGGTTGGCTGCTAAGCACACAGTGGTGGCCTGGTGGGAATTTATCGCTCGCGACGCTGCCACGGCCAGCACACTACTGTTTCTTTTCGTCCTTGCTGATTTTTTTTTCTCTTCGTCCTTGCATTTTGATTAGAAATACTACTAGTATAATATTTGAATTTGTTAGCTAGGGATGTTGAGATGCCGCTTTTTGTTTTTATAAGATGGGTAGTAATGGTGGTGGGAGGACTGCATGATGGGTGCGCCAGTGACTGAGAAACGTTACTTGTATTTATCTATTCTCTTGTGCCGACTAGCGAGTGTGATGTTTGTTTTAAATTCGCGTTGATATGGAACAAGGGTCAATTATCGTATACCAAACATGAAGAATTGTTTTTTTTTTCTTAATCTGCCATCATGTCAACTGTCTTGCATTGTTTCTTTTATTTTGATCAAGTGTTATTATTTTGGTTGGCACATACCTAACCTTGTTCTTGTAATGATGCGTAGTATATTATTCAGTTCTGGCTACTGCATCTCATTTGAATTGAAATAACCAGTTAGAGTACTACTATGATGCCTCATTTTGTCTTCCACTAGCTAATATGTCCGTGCATTGCAACGGAACTAAATATGTATTGGAATCAGGTTCTATATCATCGATAGAAGCGAGTTGTTCTAGCTCTTGTATGGGTGTGGGTTATGAGTCTGGATCACATATATGAGATATATAAGACGTCATCCAATACGTATTAGAATCGGGTTCCGTATTCATCATTGCTAAACACGAGTTGTGCAAACTCGTTTGAGTATGGGTCATGATTTGGGATCACATATGAAACTACGGTTTGGAAAGTAAAAAAAGCAGTATCGAAGAAACCTCCACTGTCTAGGTACTTGGGGGAGGTGAAAGAAAAAACAATAGATAGAGAGAATTGCTTCTTTAATATTTGATGTAAAAGATATAGATTTAAAATTTTCTGATTGTAAATTGGAGTCGTTCAACGTCAGTCATGACATGAGGTCTGTCATTTGTATTGGGACAGTAATAATTAGTGATGCTGACATGAGGCCTATCAATGATGTTGAAAAGTTACTCACTTATCGTAATTATCTATTTTGTTGGAGCAAGGATAGTTTTACTCCCTCCATCAACAAAAGAATACAGTTGTACTAACCGCGCCAGTCAAACTAGCTCACGATTGACTTTATAATAAATAATATTAGCATTTATGTCTTCTAAATAAATTTATATTATAAAAATATATTTTATAATTTATGTAATGATACTTATTTTGTATCATTAATGTTAGTATATTTTTATATAAATTTAATCAAAACTTAAATTATTTGACTCATTGAAAAATGAGAATTGTGTTCTTTTATGGACGTAGGGAGTACCTCATCGGATTAAAGTTGATTCAAAGGATGAGCCATGTACCGCATAAGAATCCAAACCTGTACGCGAGTGCACAGGAGGAAAATAAGAAGGATCGGGAAACCCCTGAAACGTGCAACAGATGGACTAGTGGATGCTCCACTACAACAGAACCGAGCGCGTGGAAGTAGCAAATTTGCAGGTGCGCCTGTTGCTGTTGGCGCGGATAACGCAGCACGTTCTTGTGGCAGTGCCGCAGAACGGAGAACCCAGGGACTGCCGGACTGCCTCTGCACTCAAGAAGCACGCGGCCAGGAAGGGCTGCGGGCGTGACGGGAGGCACGCACGCCTTTGCTTCGCGGTTGGTTCGCGTGGCCTTTACCGCGCTGCCCCCACGTCACCGGCCGGCCTTCGATTCACAGTACAATCCCTCCGTTGTGACTCGGCCCCATCCGGCCACCCCGCGCGCTCTCCTCGTTTTCCTCGGTCGCCGTCGTGGTCACATGGGAAATATGCGTGTGCGCTGCGGACTGCGGTGTGCGGTGTGCGGTGTGCGGTGTGCTGCTGTCGCCGTACGATTCCATTCCCCGCTTCCGCCCCGCCCCGGGAAGCACACCCTTCGCTTCGCAGCCAATCCGGGTTCGGGGGTAAAAGGCCTCTCATAATCGTTGATCCGGAAGCAAGCGCCACCAACGGTGAAAAGGGAAACCATCCAAGATTGAATACGGGGATTCAATTTAATTTGGGAAACCGATACTCCAACTACGTGCATGCAGTATGTTTTCTACTTATGAAACATTCTGTCAGATTGCTGTAGGATTTTATACGTTTTATTAACTTTTTTTTGGGTTCCAAACATGTCCTACAGTCCTACTTCGATCGATGCCGTAGCTTAGCTACATGTGCAACTTCACCCGCGTGGTTTACGTACCTCCATGGCATCCGATACATTCCAAGCATTTGCCACCACCCGCCGGCCTCAGTGGCATGCATGCAAGGGTGTGTACAGTTACA